TTCATGCCTAGGGTGGGATTAGAACTCACTGCCTCCTGGTGATTGGCCCAAAGTCAACCAGCCAGCTTTTATGCCTAAAGTGGGACTAAACTCACAGTCTACTGATGATTGGCCCAGAGCCATCCACCTGGCTTTCATGTCTAAGGCGGGACTAGAACTCACCGGCTCCCACTTTCTAGTCTGGTGCCTTAACTACTAGACCAAGCTAATAATCATATTAATAAACCTGGAGACTAGCAGGAACCCCTGTGACAATGCTGGGAAGCCAGTCCCTTGCCTAAAGATTTAACCCTTAGTCCAGCCCTTCAGCTGCTTGGAAAGCAGCATAGCTCAATTGTCTCCATTACCAGGTGAGCTCGGTTAATTCAGGGAGATTTTATTCCCAGATCAACCTTCAACGGTTGCTGCTGTCAAAGCCATAATCTGTGGACAGATCCTGAGAGCCAAGATCGGTGTGCGGATGGTGAGTGATTGCTGGCGAGGAAGCCTTTCCCTTCCCACCCACCCCCATCACGATTCTCTTTTCACATTTGCATCCCGAACGGCTCGCTATTCGGTCTCTTCGGCCTTTTCAAGCCCTGTCGGACTTCACTTCGGCAAAAGCGCAGCCGATCGGCCAGTGGTTCTAACCAGCACCACGCGTTGTAAAGCTCTTTGCACATTCAGGGCTTTGTTTGTATTATTCTTGGCGAGGCTGCGTCACTATCGGTTGCTGTGCTTTTTTTTATATCCTCTGCGTCCTTCAGTATTGGCCTCTTTTGTTTGATAACATTTCAGCTTATCGCCGCTTTGTACCGTCCCTTATCAAACAGTTTTTTTAAAAAAAATGCCATTCCTCTGTTTTTGACCCGGTATTAACACCGATTGACTTCTCTCGTCTTGCTAAAATGTCCCATGTTCCTGCCTCCTAATGGGGCTCCCAAACTCCCTTTTTTTGCAAGATTGCAATGCAGACGTTTTAAAGAAGACCATCCGTTTCTGCAGGCATAATTTTTCTCTTATTCCACAAATAAGTAAAGAAACACATCACGCTTCCAAGAGGATTGACACATACGTCTGTTTTACCGAAAAGTTCCCAATTCTTCAAATTCCTTCTCTTTCCACTCCCCGCCCCCCCAACCTCGGGGATATCACTGCCTTTCGGGAGACAGATGTTATTACCAAATATTCTTGTAACAACTAGCATAAACCTACATGTAGAATTCTAAATGCCTGCTGGCTTGTTTCTCCCAAAAGCAAGGAAATGTGATTTTTTTTAAATAAATAAATAAACCAAGTGATTGCAAATATCCTCGACATAACGACCGTTTGGATCCTGCCCACTAAGGCCGTATGTTGTGACCATTGCAAATCTGGTCGGTCGTGTGACTGATCCAATGTTATGACCTTTTTTGTGGCGGTCATTAAACAAATGCCGCAGTTGTTAACCAAACCCATTATTTGCAGCAGTGCCATTTTCCAGAAAACGGGAAGTAATGTGTCAGCAGCCCCGTGACTGCAGGATACAACCAATTGCTGTAAATGTGGCTGGGTTGTTGAGTGCAGTTGTATAAATTGTGTGGGGGGTGGGGGGAGGGAAGGACTGCCTGGACTGGGTTTCAACTCCCTTTTATCCAAGTAGTTTGTAATTTGAACAATCACTAGTGACCAAGTTATAAGTCGAGGACTATGACCACAATTGAGCTCAAATTTTTTGTTGCTAAGTGAAACATTTGTTCAGTGAGTTTTGCCCCATTTTATGACCTTTTGTGCCACAGTGGTTAAGTGAACCACTAAGTTATCATTAAGTTATTAACATGCTTGTTAAATGAATCTGAAATCTGCTTGTCAGGTCACAAAAAGTGATCACCTGACCCCAGGACACTGCGGCCGTCATAAATACGAATCAGTTGCCAAGCATCTGAACTTTGTGATCACCTGACTATGAGGATACTGCAATAACAGTAGCACTTAGACTTATATACCGCTTCAC